TCTAGATATGCCCATGCACCATTCTCGCCGTGCTTCTGGTATGCTTCTTGAATCAGTCGCTTGGCCTTGTCTGCTGTCTGCAAGGCGAGGAAGCCGAACAGCCATCGGAGGTTCTTGGCGTTGGAGCTCTCCTGCTCAATCAGGATTGCTAGTAGTTGACTGCTGCTGATACTGCGCAAGACACTGATAGACCTGTTAGGATCTGTCAGTAAGACCGATGGACTGGCCAGTCAGTCAAAGTTGTTTCTGTCCATGTATGGCATCATGAAGGGTGGTCAACACAGATCTCACTTCGGTGATGGCTGATAAGATCGTGTCTCCTCAGAATGCTTTCCTTGTCTTTCCTTGTCTTCTCCTCTCTCTCTCCGTTACACAGCAATCTACCCTAGCTCACAAGCTCGCAGTGGTTCGTCTTGCCAAGCTGGCAATCCTGACAACGACCATGATCTGACGCGTCTGTGAGAGGATGATGAATCAAGAACGACGTGCGAGCGCTCCTGCGCCGCAATCTGACATCCAAGGGGCCCCGCCTCCTCTCCCATCCATCTCGATGGTGCCTGACGCCGGCAGGCTGCCGCAGCTCAACGTCATCCCCATCCCATCAGCCGCAGGCGGAGGCGGACAGGCAGGCACGCCGTCCACAGGCACACCCCTGCTGCCGCCACACAGTGTCACGCAGCAGCCGCAGCACGGGTTTGGCCATCCGGCAGGCAGCGCTCACCACGCGCATCGGCACTTCTCGGCGAGCGGTTTGTCAACGACGGTTGCGAATCGGCGTGTGGTCGACTCCATAGAGTCGCTGATCCGGGAGTTCGAGGCCAAGAACACGCGCATCCCGTGGTCGGTGCGGTGGAGCTTCTTCCTGACGTTTGACGGGCTTGTTATCACCGCCTGTGTGCTCATCCTCCTGGGGCTGTACTGCACCGCACCCAAAAGTGAGAGGCAGGGGATGGCTGGATGGCTTGATGGATGGATGGATGTCCCCTGTGTGTCTGTCTGTCTGAGTGCCTGCAGGTCTGCTGATAGTGGAGGTGCTGCTGCTGCTGCCCTTCATCGCGGCCAATGTGTGGATCAACTACCGCGCGCAACGCATTGAGGTAGGTGAGCAGGACAAACGAGCAAAATGATTTACTCACCGCATCTCCTTCTCTGTGTGTCAGCAAATCCGGGCGCTAGCCAAAGTGAAGGAGTCTTTGGAGACCTTCATCGGCACTGAGGGCGCGTTCTCGTCGATGATCAGCAACGACTTTTCGTTCAGCGACCCGCCGTCGTCATCGATGGTGTCGGTGCTGAGGGACAACGAGTGGCGACGAATGCCCTACAACATGGTTGGTCCCCCCCCCGCACATGCCCCTGGGGAGGGGAGGGCTGGTACGGGCGTGTATCACATCACCCTTCCTGTCTGGCTGTCATCGATCGATCAGGTGGTTGAAGGCGACGTGTTCAAACTCCGTGCCGGGGAGTTCTTCCCGACGGACGCCATCCTGCTGGAGGCCAAACACCGCCACCCCAACACCTCACCACACGCCCACCCCCATTCGTCCGCTGCCACCCCTCCGCCATTCCCATCGGCCGCGCGGGCACAGCAGGCTGCCCAAGCCACACATCATGCAACAGACATTGGTATGGTAAGAACCAGTGTCCTCTCCTCCCTTGATAGGATATCTATCGTTGCCTGCCATGTCGCTTGTATGTCTTGTGCCTGTCTGTCTGTGGTCGCTGGCTGCAGTGCTCACTCCAAGCAGCCTTCGGTACGAGTCGGGTCGGCGCTTCCTGCCCACCTCTCTGTCGTCTCAGCACCCCACACCCTCCTCCACCAAGTCCGTCATCCACTTACACCCCCACCCACACCCACACTCTCGTGCATGTGGCGACAATGTTGACAACACCAGCCCGACCGAAGACCCGTCAGTCTTCGGCATCTCTGTGGCGTCGCCCGCACATAGGGAGCATCACCATGGCGGGGGCGGCGGTGAGGGGAGGGGCGCGAGCATGCAGGTGCCGCCGTCGCTGGTGCAGGCCTCCTTCCTCGCCACGTCCACCGCGTGTCTGCAACAAGTGCGGACCTTCCTAGAGGTCAGCGCAACGCACATACACACACGCATCTTCAGCGCTTCCGTGGACCCGTGTGTGCGTGTGTGTGTGTGTGTGTGTGCAGACGTCCTTAAAGATCAAGAGCAGCCTGACCCGCGCGCGCAGTCCCTTTGACTCGTTGCAGTCAGGTGGCGAGGACAGCAGCGGCACCCGGCAGCCATCGGCCACTACGTTCTTCGAGATCGCCTTCTTGGTGCGGCGGAAGCTCATGTGGATCTGGGGGGCGGCCATGATCATCACCGTCGCGTCGACCGTCTTCTGGTCTGTGAGAGAGAAACCACACGCGAATCAACCAACGTGCCTGGTGTGGTTGTGTTGTGTGTGCAGGGAGGTGTGGAGTGGGCTGAAGGACCAGGTGGTGCCGTCTCAGATGCGCCGGGACCGGTGGCTGCTGCCCGTCAGACTCTCGCTGTGTTTCATGCCGCTCGTGCACAGGTCAGTCAGTCAGAGTCACCCCCACATGTCACGTCACTCGGATGTGCGCAGCGCCTGTCAGTCATGTGTGGGCGGTTGCCTGGCTGGCCTGCAGGATATTGCTGCAGATCACTGACGTGTGGGGCAACGCCCGCCTGCAATCCCTTTTCCAGTGGATTCGGGTACCCCACCCCCTCGCCACACACCGCCCACCACCCATCCACACCATCCACACCATGTGTGTGTCGATATATCAGGAGGACCAGGTGCACCGGCAGCAGCCCGCCAACCACCAGCTGGGTGTCCGCACCACATCCACCTCCAAGAAGCTGCAGTGGCGCACCTCCTCCCTCTACGGCGCCGTGACGAAAGCCCTCGACTCCGTACCAGGCGCGCGCTCCGTCAAGTGGGCGGCGGCGAATGTGCGTGGCCGCGTGTGGAGGTGGTGGCTTCGCGCGGGCACCAGGGTGGTGCCTAATGCAACGCTCACTGGACTGCGGTCACAGGCGTCGAGTGCGGCTGTGTCGGAAGATGATGAGTCGGTACGTTTGTCGCTCGCACGTGTGTGTGGGTGCAATGGCATGTGTGTGTGTGTGTGTGGTCAGGAGGCGTCATCGTCGAGTCAGTTTTCGGCGTCCAACGTTCCTCTGTCCAAGCAGTTCCGCGAGCTGCTCGACATCCTCCGCCACGGACTCGACGGCGCGTCCAACCTCCTGCACACGCTCAACTCTACCACCGTCCTGTGCTTCTGCGACAAAGAGGTCTGTCTGCCAGGCGGCAGAACGCCTGTGCGTTTCAACAGAGGTGGATGGGATGGACGGTTGTGGTTGGTGTTGGTGTTGGTGTGTGCAGGGTTTGCTGACGGACACGTGTCGGACGATCCAGGAGATCTGCATCTGTGCCACGCCATCAGCGACGGTGCGGCACTCCCTCTCCGCGCCGCAGATCTCCTCTGCCGCCCCACCCATCCCCGCCAGAGACATCACATCCGCAATGGCCATTGGCAATGTACGCAACGGTCGACCCTCACACACAAGAGGGAGGGACGTCGAATCATACCCGGTGTGTGTGTGTGTGTGTGTTCTCAGGACTACCCCCCCAGTTTGCTCGGCACCCCCTCTCTCAGCCACGTGCACGCCCCCGCGCTGCTCGAGCTCACCATCCCCCCGGACCCCTCCGTCTCGCCCTCACGGCGGGAGCCCTCTCCATCCGTCATCGCGCAGCGGTCCGCATCAGACGAGTGCTTCGTCCATCCGCCATACTCCTCACACGCCTCACCGGCCACCACCACCAACGAGCATCACGCAGCAGCAGCAGCAGCGGCAGGCAGCCCCACACAGATGAGCAGCATGTCGGCGGCACACCTCAAGGGGCTGCCAGCGGTCAACGGCGGAGGGGTGGGTGTGGGTGTGAATATGGGGCCGCTGAGTGGTCACACGGGTGCGGCCACCACCAGCCCTGTTGGTGTGACTGGGGCGAGCACGCCGAGAGGGACGGATGTGCTGCACGTGCCGGCACTGCCCGAGGGGATCGGTGGCATACGCCCGGTGGTTGGGTAAGTTGGGTGGCTTGTTGGTCAACTGGCATGCTACTATGGGGTCTGCTCTGGTCCCGCAATTGATATGATGCGTGTCTGTATGTCTGTCGTTCTGTATGTCTGGTCGGTGTCTGTCTGTCTGTCTGTCTGCTTGGCCGCAGAGAGAAGGTGGTGCTGGATATCCAGGTGGACTCGTTGAGCAGCGAGGGCCTGCGGTTCGAGGAGATGACGTGGCGGACCCACCTGGCCACTCTCACTCCTCTCGCGCTCGCCATGAATCTCTGGAAGAACCTCATCTCACAACCATCCAAGTGAGTGACGTCGGGAGAATTTGCCCATTGATTCACTCACACACACGCCATGCACCCCACACACACGCTCCCTCCCTCCCTCCCTCCCTCCTCTCTCTGTGTGTGCAGGTCCACTGCAGGAGTGTTTCTGCACAGCGTCTGTTGCAGCGACATCTTCCGGGGCGACACGCGCTCCACTGCCCCCTGCTTCGTTGAGGGCGCCTCCTTCGCCCCCCTCCCCCTCCCCGTCCCGGACCGCCCGGACCGCACCACCACCACCATGACCATGACGCCCCATTCACTGCCCCAGCCCCACCTCCCACACTCGGCATCCAACCCCAGCCTCACCAACCCCCCGACCCAGCCACAGCCACCCCAGACCCAGGCGGCCAAAGCCTTGCAGCGGGCGTATTGGGTCAAAGTGGAGAGCTCTAGCGGCTCCATGGACATGGACTGCCTCAGAGAAGAGACTGAGCAGGTGGTCCCGTCGGCGGCTGACACTGCTGGTGCTGGTGCTGGTGTTGGTGTTGGTGCTGTGCCTGGGGTGTCATCGTCGAGCCCGGCAGCAGATGGGCAGGGGCGATTGCGAAGGCGTCCGTGGCGTGTTGCTGGTGGGAGAGGGGGTGGTGTGCACAAGTGTGGTGTGGGTGGGCTGGGCTACAGCGGCGGGGAGGGTGGAGAGGGGGCAAGTGTGAGTATCCACCCTGCCACGGACGTGCTGCAGGACTGCCTCTGTCCTGTGTCGCGACTCATCGGCGTGCCGGAGAAAGCTGTCCAGGCATTCAGGCCACTCAGGTCACACACCTGACACACCACACCCTTCACAGCATGACAGACGAGATAGATGAGACCCGAACCCTTGTTTGTGACCTCAGCTTCGTTCTGGCCGTGGAGTCCTACCCTCTTCCATCAGAGGACCTGCCCTCTGCGCACCAGGCGCCCCCGAACCCCCAGATTTCGCCACCGCTGCACCACCCAATCGACATCAACCCGCCCGTTCCCGTCTCGTTCCCATCTCCATCCCCACTGCCATCCCCGCTACCCGAACAGTGTGTGTCACCCACTGCCGCAGCAGCAGCAGCAGCAGCAGCAGCAGAGACCCAGCCGTCAATGCTCCGCTCCATCTCAGCCAAGCACACCATCGACGACAGCCCCCTGATCCGTACGAGCCTTGACGCATGGGAGTCGGCGACGGAGAAAGATGACGAGATCGAGGAAGAGGAGAGAGGTGACGAGGTGGCAGATGCTGCCGAGCCGGAGGAGAGGCGTGATGAGAGGGAGAGGGAGAGGGAGAGGGATGTGAGCGGCAGTAGTGGTGGTGGTGCTGGTGGCCAGAAGGGCAGTGAGGAGGGCATCCCGTCTGGCAAGAGCGGGGCGGTTTACTGGGTGGACCAGCCCACCTGTATCTGGCTCGTCCAGGACCCTCGAGACGGCTCTCTCCAACTCTTCTGCAAAGTCATCAGTGAACCAACACCACCCTGCGCCAAGCTAATGTCACTCATATGCCTTCCGTCCTGTCTCAGAGCCGGCCGCGTGTGTTGCTGGACCGATGCCGTCACTACTTTGACGGCGACAGCATCCAGCCCCTCTGTGAGGAGACCAAGCAGTCCCTCCGGCAGCTGCTGGTGCAGTGGAAGAGCAGCGGCCTCGACGGCGTCGCCTTCGGCTACCGGCCGCTGACCCACGGCCAGCAAATAGAGCTGCTCCGCGCTCTGCACGAGCAGAACATATTCGCCGTCGAGATGCACCCCAACCCCGTGACCCTCCCCCACGCACACGCACACCCCGCGCATTTCGCCGACCCCTCCCCCTCCGTCACTGCCCCTCTGCTCACATATTCACCCATTGCCGCTGCACACACAACACCCGACCTGGCGGCCCCTCCCCCGGTGGCCCAAGAGTCCCCATATACGTCGGTGTGGTATGCGGCTGAGTGCTTCCCGGGTGCGAAGGACGCGCTGGCCATCACCAGGATGGGGGCACTCGGGAGACTGGGAAGGGGAGGGCACCAACAGCACCAGCACCATCCCCAGCAGCATCAGCACGGGCCGGCACTCGCCCCGCCACGCACGCCCCACTCACTCCGCAAGTCGCCGTCAAACGCGGATTTCGTCTCGCCTGATCGACAATCGGCCAACACGGGTGCATTTCAGCACCACCAGCCTGACAACTGGGGGGAGGGGGGAAAGGGCGACTTGTGCACTGCAGCACCGAGCTACGTCAACACGAGCTTGACGATGAGTCCAGTGGGGTTTGTGGGTGGTGGCGGAGTGGTGGCGGGTGGCGCACAGCCTGTGATGGCGCTGTATGGCGCGGGTCAGATGCTGAAGGCGTTGCTGCATGAGCAGATCTTCCTGGGCATGGCAGCGCTGCGCATGCAGACCAGCAGGGAGGTGTCCTCACTCATACAGGACTTCCACCAGGTAACGTAGGTAACGAACACGGTAGAATACGCCCGCCACGCCATCCACGCGAGTCGTGCTGCTGTGTCGCGACTGCAGGCGGGGATTAGGTTTGTGTACTTTTCTCGTGAGGGCGAGAAGCGGACGCGCATCACCGGAGGGCAGCTTGGCCTGGAGACCGGCTGGAACTGCATGATATCGCTCACGCGCACATTCGGGTACGGTGCGCACACGACATCACACCACACACACAACAACAACCTCCTTTGTGTGTGTGTGTGTGTTTGTGTGTGATCAGTGAGAGGAAGAACCAGGACGGCAAGGTGATCCTGCCGTCGGGCATAGAGGACATCCGCCGGCACGTCCTCGAAACCGACAACGTGCCCCTGCTGATGTCACTCTTCTGCAACGGCAATGCTGAGAACATACAGCAGATGATCGGCATTCTGCAGGCCAGTCCCCTCCCGTCCCCCACAGACAGACAGACAGACAGACAGGCTCGGCTCACAGGCGGCCTATACATACGTGCCTGCGTGTGTATTCGTGTTGGTTGCAGGAGCACGGCGAGGTGGTGACGTGCATCGGTTCGGCCCTGCGGCCGAGCAACTTCGGTCTGTTCGGGCAGGCCAACTGCAGCGTGTCGGTGCTGGTGGGCCCCCACCCCATCTGCCGCTCCTGCCACGGCAAGAGGTGGGTCGGGCCCCTGCACCAACACGTGCTGCCGCGAATCCCATCCGAGTACGTCCTGTCGGCTTCGCTCACGTCGCTGCCCTGCGCACTGCAGTCGCACCACACCTACATCGGTCAGGAGGGAGGGAGCCAGCACTGGCAGGGCAGGGCGGCTGTGGACGTGGTTTGGTTGTGGTTGTGCGTATTCTGCGTGTGTGTGTGTGTGTGTGTTTAGGAGGTGAGACGCATTTGATTCTGGAGCTGCTGCTGAATGCGTTCAAGGAGGCGAGGAGATGCGTCGATTCCATTCAGCAGGTAGGTCTGCAGGCCGATCCCTCACGCTCTTTGCCGTGAGGGCATTGTGTGGTGTGTGTGCGCGCGCGCGCGTGTGTGTGGTGGACAGGCGATCGTTTTCTACGTCGGTGGAGCGGCTTTGCTGTCGTGCATCCTCCTGCTGCAGTCGCTGCTGGGGCTGCCCGGCATCCTCCATGTAAGCACGACGCTCCATATATCCCGTCTCGGTCATCCTTCCATTGGATCGGATCCATCCTGCGTGTCGATTGGCATGACGCTGTCTATTTGCAGGGTGTGCAGCTGATGGTGATTCTGCTGATCTACCTACCGCTGCTCTCCACATGCCTCCTCGCAAACCCTGTAAGGGCCCACATGGCAAGAAGCCTCTGGACAAATCGTTCTCTCTCTCTCTCTCTCTCTGTGTGTGTGTGTGTGGTTGCTGCTTGCTTCGCCTTAGGCGACAGAGATGATAATGCAGGAGTTCCCCTTGAAGGCCGTCGACCAGAAGGCCCATGCCAAGACCAACGTGCTCATCCTCCACTACTGCCTGCGCTTCTGCCCCTCTGCCCTGGCCGTCGCCGCGCTATTCCTCCTCTTCCTCCACCAGAACTTCCACCGATCTGTCAAAGGCATCACCGTCGACACAATCGACAAACAGGCCATCGTCCACCCACTGGTCAGCCTGACGAACAACGATGGCAGAGTGGACGAGGCGCTGGGGGTGGTCGGGGCGCTCTGTGAGGGCTTCCAGTGGCACCACTGGCTCACAGGTGCTGATGAGAGGGAGGGAGGGGACAGCACACACACAGGGGGCGGATGGCTGAATGGAATGCGTTGCCCTCTTATGTGTGGATGGGATGGCTGCAGGTGAGTGGGGCGGGTGCTACGCGGCCTTGGAGGAGCTCGGTGAGCTCATCCGCGACATTGCCGTGTCGGTGCCTGCCGCCCTGGCCGTGGATCTGGAGGAGTGGCTCGAGTACTGGCCGCCCATTCAGCTGCACTTGGCCCAGCTGTTCGCCGCCCTCGCCACCACTCTGTTCATCACCCTCCTGGCCCTCTCGTTCGTCGACCGCTTTGAGAGTCTGCTGAAGCGCGGTCCCTTCCGCAATGTGCCGCTGGTCGTGACGGCCTCGGTGCTGCTGGTGGTGCAGGTGGCGGCCTCGCTGATCGTGCTGGCGGTGCAGCACACGTCGGCCACCAAGAGGTCTCAGGGGCCGTCGTGGGTGCTGTGGGTGGTGTTTGCGTGTTGGCCTGCGGTGGTGCTGGCCATCGATGAGACCATCAAGACGGTCGACAGGCGGCAGCACCAGAAGCTGCAGAAGTACCTGAGGATCGTCTTCAACACACGGCTGGGCATGTGGAGCCCAAAGTAGATAGACAGATAAGCGTGTGTGTGTGAGTGTGGTGGGCGCGTGGTGGTGTGTGCAGACGGTGGAGGGTGGGCTCCTTAGTCAGGGTGTCGCCGTATCTATCTGTCTTTATTCGATGAGATGAATGATGACAAGACAAGGAAGACATCAGTGAGTGTTTCTGTGGCCGGCCGGCGATGAAGCAAGCAATCAATCGCTTGTACGGGGCATTGACTCACATGTTGGTTCGTTCATCTTAGCTAACAGCACAGAGACAGACAGACAGACAGACAGGCCGACAGATGACACCACACCGGCAGGCAGGCCACTCAGATCATCGCTCCTCCCTATCTATCTATCTATAGCCGCGAATCGGATGTCCATGAGCACAGACTCCAACGCATCAAGTGGGACCGTCACGGGAGACGAGAACGCCGTCTCACGCAGTACCAGTGCCTACACACACACACACATCAACACAACACATCAACACACGCAGCGACTGCAGTGAGGGTAGTGAGTGGGTGTGTGGCGCGATGCGATCGTTCGTCGCCCACTACCCCACCCAGTAGGGCAGCTTGAGAGACTCGGCCATGTTCCTGAAGCACACCACACCACCACATCGATGGGTGTGGATGGATGGCTGGTCCATCGGATCGGCAGGCAGTGTCCTCTCTCTACTAGCTGTGTGCCGTCCGACCGACCGACCAGTAGTACTCCTGGCCGCAATCCCACTCCCCGTAGCCCTCGACAATACCTGCAAGGCACACAAACAAGAATGAGTGATGCGTTTCGTTGGTCCGTCCGTCCGGTGTGTGTCTGTTTCCATTTATTTACTTTGCTCACCCACCCCACCTACCCACCCTTGATGGGGATGATGTTGAGCACTCGAGTGCCTTCACGGCAGTACAGGATGTTCGACAGAGCAGCACCCTCCACACCTATCACCAGGTCGGCCTGCATTCACACACACGCAACCACACACACACACACACACGCACACGCACACAGAGATGTACCCATTGCAATGCATTGCGTGTGGGCTGGGCTTTCGGAACCCCGCCCACCCACCTGGTTGAATCTCTCCATTTGTTCCCGCAGCCCGACCGTCTCGGGCGCCAAGACATCCACAACCACAGCACCAGGCTGGTCCGCAAATACCCTCTCAACCACCCCCCTGACCCCATCGAGGTTCATCATGATGCGGTCGTTCTGGTGGGATCCCACCGCACCGGTACCCCTCTTCGGCAGACGGTTGACCAGGAGGATCCTCCGCATTTGGTAATGTGATGCCTCCTCTTCTGGTGCTCGTGTGGGTGTTAAATTGTCGATGGTGGCGAGCATGTGTGTGCGTGTGGCGTTGAGGGTCGATGCGGCCTGGTACACACTCGCCTCACGCACTGTGGTCGTGTACAGCCGCCACGCATAATACAGCCTGCCACATGTCGTCACGTCACACAACACATCCCACACGCCACGCACGTGGTGATGGCGGCCTGCCTTTGTGGGTGTCTGTCGTGTCCAGTAAGTTCCTCCCGCGTGCCTGCCTGCCTGCCTGCAAGGATTGTAGAAGACGATCTGCCTTTGTGGAATGGCCAGGAGGCCGAGGGCCTCCCGAACGAAGGGCCGGTCGTACACGAGTAGCTTGACAGATGGCGACCTCAGCAGCAGGGGGCGGACGGCGAGGAGCAGCGGCAGGCCTTCAGTCGTCCAGCTGCACAGAGACATACATGGACAGACAGACAGACAGCACAGCACGCACACGTGTCTGCGTATGTGTGTGTGTGTGTGTGTGTGTGCGCGTGTGTGTGTGTGGCATTTACTTACTGGTAGTAGTTGATGGAGTACAGAAAGAGCCCCTGCACCAGCTCCTCATGCAACTGATACACAAGACAGACATGAGCGTCACACATACACTCACTCCATGAGTACTGCGCAGGGCAGGCAGGTGCACAGCACATGCCGCGATATCCGGTCGGTCAAATCACTCCCACCCACCCACCCACCTCCACAGTGGGGAATCGCAGCCACTCCGGTTCCTGGCTCCTCCTGTCCTCCCTCCCGCCACCCTCAGACACACACACGCTCCTCTTACCAGACGAAAAGTACCCTGGCGCACGGCATGCACAGGCAGACATGCACACAGACAGACAGACACAGAGACAGACAGACAGACAGACAGAGAGAAACAAACCGGTCCCTCTGATGGATGGATGGCATCTACCTACCGATTTCGTCGTAGAGTCCATCCTCCTCGATCTCCTGCATCGTGAAGGTTCTGTTGGCCATCCGCACCAAGGCAGCCATCAGGAAGTGGCTCACAGGCGCCGAGAATGCCTCCCGCTGCATCCACGGCCGCGACCGGTGTGGGTGCAGGTTCATCGCCGAGAACAGACCGCTCATGTCCTGAAACAAAGGCGACGAGAAAGCGCTATTCCGGTTGAACACGATGCCCTCGTAGGACGCAAAGACGTTGTCCACAGAGAGGAGCCGGATGGAGGGGTATGAGGGACGGGGCTGCTCGAGCGTGGCGTCAGACGAGCACTTGGCAGGCAGGGACGAGGAGCCGACACGCCCGGACTCATCAAACAGCCGGGCGGGCGAGCGGCGTATCGGTACGGCCGTGTGGAAGACAGTCGACTCGTCCAGGGGAGCAGCGTTGAAGGGCGGGGCGGCCATGAGATCCGAAGGGTGGCTGAGGAGCTTCAGCGTCACTATCTCGTCCTTCACGCGAATCGCGTCGAGATGCCGCACTTGCTCGGTCCCAACGTCCGCAATGGCATATAAGCCTTGAGCGAAGTACTTGGACAGCACCGACAGCAGGCCGCCGTGCTTGATGGTCTGCAGCAGCCGGGGATAGATCCACGCAATGAGGACGCCGACGACGGCCATGCCGACAAGTCTGAGCCATCTTCGGCTCGTGCTGGCCGCCGCTGATGCCTCTGATGGATGACGGCTGCCGGATGGCACAGATGCCCGAGGTGCCGGATGAGAAGTCTTCTTCGCCATTTTTGGACAGATGAAGCATCAGGGGGCCTTCCTACAGCCTCCGGCAGGCACAACAAGTCCCCCAGAACGGGAAACAATGAGTTTCGAAGAATCGCCGATCCGTCTGCGCGCTTAGCTTGGAGACAAGTAAGGCGCCCAGGCAAGCTGAGCGCGGTGCACGACCCCCCAGTGGATGGGCCGATTTGCGCGTTCGACAGAGAATGCGGATGTGTCCAAAAAACACGTCGATCACACTATCCATGCAATGAATTAAAGAACACATACAATTGCATGCATGTCCTTCTCCCTTTTGTAGAGCTGTGTG